TGCAAGCTGCCGTTAAACTGGAAGAAGAAGAGGAGTTGGCAACACTGCTCGGTTTGGATGTTTGGCGCGAACCTATAAATGGCGAGAAGAAGACGCTAAAGACCGGAGGTTTCGTCTTTTAAAATTAAAATTGTGAGTATTTTGTTGGCAGTTTACTGTCTGGTTTGACTCAAAATGTTCAGATAACAAGCGAAATACAGCAGCCCTTTACAGGCGTGCTTACGAGTGTAGCCATTCTCTAACCATCGACTGGCTAGTTAATGCACAACGGCTGGTATGCTTAGGTAGCTCGGTAGCTAGCTGTATTACAGCTGAATTATCATAGCCGTCAGTGCTATCGGTGTTTTGTCTTAAGCTCATGCTTTCATTTGTTAGCTTTTAGTATGTACAGTAGGTACAGGATCAGTTATATATTTTTGTAATATTGTGGATTCCAAGTCAAGTCTGTGTACAAATATTTTGTATACAGAATTTCTTAAGTAATTGTTAAGTCCAAATTGTTTTTATGATGTCGTGGAGGTTTTTGTCATATGAATTTAGAGGTGTTGTGGGGAGCAGGTCAAAGTGACCCTGTTAAGAAGAAGAGTCAGTAGATGCCATACAATACATGTGTAAGAGAGGCAGGTATAACAGTGAAGCTGGAAGGAGCAGAGATGGTGAAGCTAACTGAACGAAGAAGAAATGGCTCTGATGATGTTTTACAGGGAATGTTAAGAAATGCCATGATGAAATACTGAAGCTCTGGGGAAGTCATTTCAGGGTTACGATTATGTGCATTTTGATTATTTTTTTTTTGGGGGGGGGGGTTGTCAATAATGAACTGTGTTTTCAGTTTGTTTATGTGTTATGCAGTGTTTTGAACTGATAATGTAGCTGACCAGAAAAAAATGCACATTAACCCAAGAATATCCTTAGTCTAGAAAAGTCAGAATTATGCTTTGCTGTATATTTTTCTTGCCTCATGTGCCTTCATCTAATCTTCTTTGATCTCCATTGTGTTGCTGCATGACTGACTAGCACAGTGTTGTGGGAAACAGGTTAAACATGTTAGACGGTGGACAGTTTGTGGAGGCCCTAGGCCGCCTGGGTTATCCTGGTTCATCATCACTGAAGGCCTCAGAGTTCGACTGGCTCTTTGACTGTGCTCCGGAGAACCTTCACTTCTTGCGGTTTGTCTGTCGGACTCTCAACCAGAGCAACGTCCTCACCCCAGAGGAGGCACGTGCCTTTCAGGAGCTACAAAATTCCGGCAAACCAATTTTAGATGAAACCGCCTTGAGTGAAGTTCTTAAAACCATTGGAAATTCACATGGGAGCAGTGGTAAGATCTTGGGGTCATCCTCTTCATCATCTATGTTTGCGGCAGAGGAGACTTTCCCTATAGAGGACTTGGAGGCAGAGCTCCAGGCCCTGCGTAAAGAGAAAGAATTGAAGCAGCGACGTTATAACAAGCTGCAGGTTGTCGCCACTTCCCGTGCAGATGTTGACCTGCGACTCACTGCAGAGCTGGAGAGCACTTCATGTAAGCTCAACGAGGCCAACTCTTCTATTGGAGCTGAGAATGCTGACACCAACACACTGTTACAAACCCTAACAGATGAGGTCAGCAATCTTGCATCATATTTTCCAGTTCAGCCAGAAGCCAAACCAAAGGGAAAAGACCCTCCTGTTTCCCAGAAGCCCACTTTTCTCCTCTCTCAGCTTCCCTTGGATCCATACCTGCATCAGGAGGAGCTCAACACTAAAGCCCTTGCTGCCTTCACACAGAAACATTTTTTCCAGGGCATATCAGCCATTGTTGAGAGTTCCTGTTCTGAGCGTTTCCAGGTCCTTGACCTCAGTTCTTGTGATGATGGAAAAGAGGAGGAGACTGGGCACGAGGGAGAGGAGCGGCTGGTCGATCGCAGGAGGACTGAGGTGGCCAGACTTCAGTGGTCTCATATTGTTGCTCAGCACCAACTGATGCAGGCTATGGCTGAGGAGAAGAGCGTCAGGGCTGGACTAGACTGGCTGTCAGACAAGTCTTCTCATACTAAGGTAAAGTAAACATGTTGTGACTGTTTGTCTTATTAATGCTTTGTCTTCCTCTATAAAGTGCTTTCTTACATCTGTCTTTATGCTACCAGAGCATTTCCACCTCCTCCTCACTACATGTGCGTGAGGTTGTGTCCAGAAAGGAGCTGCAGGCTGTGGAAGCGGAGCTGGAAGCTCTGCTTCATGGACCAGTACCTGCTGCCCTGAGGGAGTCAGCCAGACTGCTTAATTTACCAGTAGTGAGGGGAGACCTGGCTTTGCAAGTGGCCAGGCAGGACTACTACACCTCCAGACAGAATCAGGTTAGCAGCATTTCCACTGATTATTACATTACGAGATTTTAATGTGAGATAATTCGTTCTCAGCCTGTCTCTCAGACAGGTAAGAGGTCAGGCCCAGATGTTGAAAAGCAATAATGGTGAAACTGAAAACTCATATAAACCACTAATGATATTCTTGATATCAGATCCTTGAAAACACAACATTTTTAAAAGGCCATAGCCTTTAAAAATGCCCTGAACAAAACAGCTGAAACTTTAAGTTCACTTCAAAAAAAAAAGGCAATGGTTGTAAGCTAGCATATTCGTAAGCATCATGTAAGTGCCATGTATTTGGTCCTTTGTCTGTCAACAGAGACACCTGTATTGTGGAAATTGCGTAAGATTTAAGAAAGTTGTGGAGCCACCGTTCCTTGTCATTACATGTCCTTTTAGGAATTGGAATCCATCAAACTAAATCAAGTGTAACACTGTCCACCCAGGTACGAGACTACTTGCTCCGTCAGAAAGCCTCTTTTGACTTGCTCCTACTGGCTCAGGAGATGGAGTTAAGAAGGTGGAAGATGTGTCAGAAGCACCTGTGTGATGTTAAAGGCAAGCTGAAAAAGGAAGGTGAAGAAGTGTCTCTCCGGATCAAGTCTCTGGCACATCCTGACCTGATAATTAACCCTAAACCCAACCCTATCATCAGCTCTAAAGATGCAGCTTTCAGCAGGTGAGAAGATTTGAACTCTATCTACTATAGGCTTTTGTTTTAGAGCTTGAATTATAGACAGAAAAAGCATGAGCCAAACACATAAATAATCATTTAAGTTCAGCCAGCTGTCGTAGTATGTTAATTTACTTTATTCTAAAATTGTTTTTATTAACAAGTTACAGTTTTACCACATGCACATTTGACAAACACTAGCTGCCCTTTCAAAAACTGGACAAACATGATTAAATGTACTTGTCGACATCAGTTCAACCTTCATATAAGTGCGTGCGTGTGTGCGTGCATACAAATGTAGATCTCCAGCCTTACTATTTTTATTTTCAAACTCTGCTAGAGTAGCTTTGCATTTTTAATGGTTCAAAATATCCTTTTATCTTTCACTGAATCTTGGTGCTGCCCCTCAGTTCATCTACTTTTAGCTCTTCCTTTGAGCCTTTTGATTAGGTCCCCCTCACCAACAGAAGGTTTGAGTATCAAACCTGAAACTCCATATATTTATTTATGTGTGCTTCACCCTAGCAGCTGTTAGGTGGAATTTTTCTTGTTTGCAGACCTAAGTCAGGAGTACAGACTCACCTCAGCACTCTGCTTTTGGGTTATGACCCTTTGGATCCTTGTATAAATGCAGGCTGTATCACTTTGGAATAACTTGGTGTTATTTCCACCCTTTTTTACCCAGACTCCTTCAGATGCTTGACTATGATTCAGCCCACAGTCGATCAGAGCCTTTTCGAACATATGAAGCGTTGGACCAAGCTGCTAGTAATCTAGCAAACAACCTCCATTTGATCAAAGATGCTCTGGCTGGCGCTGGCCGTGAGCAGTGTTTCACAGCAGCTCGTCTTTATGGCGACTGTGAGTCGCTCCACAGGGCCTTGTACACTGAATTCCAGCAGCTGGTTTTGGGCCCGCAGGTACGTCTAACTGAGCAGGAGCTCCTTTGCCCCAGTGCACAGGTGGGTGTGTTTCCTTTCACTTTATAGTTTGAATAGGTAACGAAGGTGACAGAGTTCACTCAGCCCTTCATGTGAGTCAGATGATTTTTAGACCTAATACTTGACACAATTGGTGAATAACCTGGTAGCACGTTGTGTTTTCTGAATTTCTCCACACATGTTTAAATTGTAAAGAAATGCAGTGGAACCCCGACTTACGAAATTAATTCGTTCCCGACTCGTAAGTCGAAGCACCCATTGCGCGTTTTGACTGAGGCGATGCTGAACAATAGGCTATAGGCTAATTGCTAACTAGAACAACAATATGTCGTTCAAGTGGAACAGCGAAGCGCAAGTACGGAAGCCAAGGGGTTGTCACATGCTTCGGAGGGCATTGTATGCTCAGCCAATCAGAGCCAGCGGATTTCGTTACTCGGGCATTTTGCCGTAACACGGGCAGAAATATTGCCGTCCAGTGCCTTCGTAACTTGAATTTTTGTAAATCGGGGTTCCACTCTACATTTGTTTGTTGGGCACAGAAGCACTGTGTAATAAATTGTTCACAAGAGGATCAGCTTTACTGCATGGCATGGGATTTAATATCAATGACTATTAGCCATTCATCTCTACTACATTTCAGCAGTTATAAGTTCAGCCTTCATACAAAGTGGTCTTAAAAAAATCTGTTTTAAAATGTGACTGTGCACTTTTTAATGCTGCCATAGCATTAACGATATAGGCTCTGTGACAGTGATTCTCTTAATATTTTTAATAAACCAACTAATGTAAATTTACATAAATCTTTGCTTATTGTCCCACAACTGTAGTAAGCTGCATAGACGGGTTCATATGGTATTGTGTTTTTGGCCCTGCAGCGAGGCTTATAATGTAATTCAGTATTATTATCATTATTGTTATTATAAAACAAATGATTATTTAATTATTTAATTAATAATACTCCAGCTACAATTACTTATGTATCTGTTATTTGTGTGGTCTGTGCTTATATCTTTGTTTCTCATTCACCCTCCATAATTTTTTATTTTATTTTTTCTCCAGGAGCTCACAGCGAAGCTCATGGAAGCAGAGTCTCAGCTGCAGAGTTTACATCAACTAATGCAAGAAATTCTGGGAGAAATTAAAACCAAGCGTTCTCAGCTGGAGCGTAATGCCCTCCTCAGGCGGGAGAGGGAATTGTACATCTACTTTCACTTGGATGCCCGACTGCTGCAGAAAATAGTTGAAGATCTGGAAAGGAAAATGTCTGCAAAGAGAGGGCAGCAGTAAAACGTCAGAGATTATTTACAGGCGGCTCAGGCACTCTCCGTGCTTGAGCTGAAAAAACAAAAATTATCTTTGCTGATAATCTAGTTTCATCTTTTTGTGTTGGAGATGGAGCTGTTTATATGGGATTCATTTGAATGTGTTTAAGTCATGTAAACATTCATAAGTGAAAAGCATCCATGATTGTGTTGTTCAGTCTTGATGTTCAAAAATTCTTGTTTTTTTTTTTTTTCTTTGTCTCCAGTCATCAGTTAAATAAAGTGAAATACTATATTTCTGAAGTTTTGATTTTTATTATAAATGCCTTGTGATTGCTTCTTGTTATTGTCAGTATACTTGGTGAAAGTTCC